GAATTTGTTGTAGAGCCACCCTCCTTTTTGGCTGACTACTGTGGTTGTTAGAACAGTTTAATCTGAACTTTGTTTTCGTGTTAGGGTGAAAACGTGTACTGCCAGTGAGGATAAACAATTTGAAGATATTGATGTCATTTAATTGTTCTTAGATTCCAATCTTTCGTTTCCCAATTTCAACGTTTGGGGATGCCATAAGGTAAATTCAATTAAACGTTTTGTTTCGTGGCCGATTTGTATTAACCCACCCTCTCTTACAAAAACCTGGATCCGCCTCTGTTCGTTTTTGTTTTGTTGGGTTTTTCAAACATAGCAAGGAAACTAGAAGTTCGAAGTTACATATTAAGTGTGTAAGATTTTTCGTGTCGCTGTTTTTGGTTGGTTGTAGTAAATATAACTATCAGAATACAGAAGGATCGAAAAACATATGATAGATACAGACCATCTGTAAACCGTTTTATCACCCATGACATACCTCGTTTTTGTAAGTTTTAAAAAAGTGAGAGCTAGTGAAAGTCTTACTTCAAGTAACATCTATATTATCTGTGTGAATTCCTTTCCGGACTTTACAGGTAGAAAGAGTTATTTATACTACCATGAATCGTGTTAACTATCATTAGCTTAGAAAAAGGTAATTCACGTTCTTATTAGGAGAGTTTTAGGAGAAAATCGACGTCGGTCAGGTAGTTGGATCGAAGCATTTGGTTTGCTGGCATGACGTCATTTTCACATACTTGTCAGAACACATATAATGGTACGATATATTTATTATCAAATTTTACTGACGATTGCCTTGCCGGTTCGAGCTTTCTTAGTAAAAGAGGGCGTCCGTACAGGTAATATTACCTATACTTGTATATACTCATTTTATTGTTAAATTTTAGAGTATTCAAAGTTTTTTTCACACTGTGTATTTGAACTTGTGGTTCAATTTCATCCTTGGTTTAAATTTTCAATTTGCTTTCCTTTCTCTTTGGGCATGTTCACTACTGACAAAGAGCAAATAAAATTCAAACGATGGATAAATTTCCACCACAACATATTTGAAGTGCTTTAATAAATCAATTTTAATTTTACTAATTTATTGAATGGAGTTGAAGGCGGAACGATAAATAAAGTCAAAGTTAGGGGAAGTCATTGTTGACTCATTGTGGGGAACTATAACCCTTCCTTACCAGTTTTATGCAAAGCCACTTCACTGAATTGCACTGTTTTCTTGTGCCTGTTTATCAGTTCAATGACTTGACCACTCGCATTGCTCCAAGAGGCTTGATCGTAAAGTATTGTTTATAAGACCAAAACAAATGATAAAAATCTGGATAACTTTAATAGTCTCTCCGTGCTTCTATCAGAATTTAGGCTATTGATCTATTACTCTAATCGACCATAGCTCTCGACCTATTAGCGCGAGAGAAAACACTCAGTTATTGTAAAAGAAAACTATCATGACCGCAACCACACATCCCGGATTATCTAATCTGTTACGACTTGTTTGGGTTTTTCTTGTTACTGTTGTTGTTTTCTTTTCAGTAACTCAGAACTTCTTTGCAGGCGTGTTTCGATTTGACAAAGAGCTGCTGCGCAATTTCGTCGGTTTCGTTGTATAAACCGCTACACTGAGCTATAACACTGACAACTTTTCTTTTTAAAATGAACTGAACTTTTTCCAATTAAGAATCGAAGACGAACTTTTTCGTGATTTATCCAGTCCGAGAGTGTGACGATGGTCATGATCTCAACATAGTTTTTTCCTCAACACAAAACACTTTCCACATCCTCTGCTGTAACGATAGTAAACGGAAACTCGTTTTAAAAAAGGTTATTGACTTCATGTTCCCGGCGTTGGTCACGTCCATGTTTGCATGCTATTTTAAGTTGTGTGCCGTAGTCTGTAGTTTTCAAAACAGTTTTTTCAGTTTTCAAAAACAGGCACTACCGAATTGGGAATTTTTTTTTCTTTCCTCAGCAATCGCTAGGCAACGAGACTTCGAATGCAAACCGTATCAGCGGCCTGTTTTTACCCCTTATAATAATAGTTATAAATGAATTTCTTATTTTGTTCAAGGCCTTTCAAATCAAACTGTGTCGATATGATGACATGTTGTGCCAATTATTTTAAGCCTCTTCAAATTTTTATTATGCAGTCTATCATTTTTAAAGGACCAACCACAGTTATCATCCTGCTTTCAGCCTGTTTTGTAATTGCAATCCTAAGTTCCGTTCTTGTTCCACTAAGGTAATAACATTACTAGACATTAATTTATCCTTATATTACTTATTGTAACCACACGTGGTCTTCTACTTCCGTATCTAATTTAAACAGAATTCACTATCTACAAAAGCGGGCCTTGCGAGCTATTACAAATTCAGAATATCGAGCACATACTGCTCCTCTGTTCTCCAAATTGGAAATTCTAGATATTTTCCAAGTCAATACGCCCGATGCTGCTAAATTTATGTTTCGCTACCACAATAATCTGCTGCCTCCACTCTTGCGCAATCTGTTTATGACAAACAGTCAAGTCCATGAGATATGACACAATAGCAGCCAGTAGTTATCGAATGCATTCCTGTCGTACGAACATCAAGAAATTCACAATTCTTTACCAAGAACCTAGAATCTGGAACTGTCTTCCTGCATCTGTTACAGACTTGTCAAGCTTTTCTAACTAAGTGCTAGAGTTTTATTAAAATAGTTACTGAATTAGTTCAGAGCCGCACTTCTTCGCCGCCCTTATTTCTTACAATATTGTGATGTCGAGGTGGCCTCTCTATATAAGCCTGGTGGTTTCTTGAGGTCTCTTCGCCTAACAACCTGCTGTATCCTGTAAAATTTACTGTAACAAAAAGGCTAACAAATGATGATGATGATGATGATGATGAACCGGCTTGGAATTCCGCTGAGTGACTGTGATCGAAGTAATGCTTTTCTTTTATACCGACAAAATGGTTGTTTATTGGAAATCTGATGGCAAAGTTCTCCCAACTTGAAATTGTTATGAGAAGGAGCCCAACTGCACCTTTTGTGTATTTTTCCCTTCTTCTTTTTACCGGAATCGAGCACATGGTATAGCTGCTGGCAATTTGCCTTGCTATATTAGTGCAATAGTCCTAAATACAATATGTATCGATTAAAACCAAAACATGCCTACCCTTTGTACTTTCGCATGTATTGTTGCATTTTTAACAGATAGTTGGACTTAATACGGGGCAGTCGCTTGGTAGCCAGATCTGGAATATTCCTTCCTAGCCAATATAAGAATTGGAATTTAAAAATGTTCATGTTATAAATAATCGGTTATATAAAGTAGAATAGTACTCTCGAAACTCCCACCTATGAAACTGTGAAATTTCAGCTCTGAGGCGGTGCGGCCTCGGTTCCTCCGTCTATTACTGGTTAGAAAGCAGAATTAGAAAGTAGAAAAGGCAAGTCTCGTGTCGAGAAAAATTTCATTATTTGGCAGAAGAAATAGTTTTCTTTCCCTAAGTTCAAATCCGGTTGTCCTTTGAAGTATTTCAGCAAGGTAATGTATTACTTAAGTTTGTTGAGTCAAGGAACTGCAAATTCATCACTTCGCATTTTTGACGTGAAAAAAAAAAAACTCCGAGGTCATTTTCAAGTGTATAAAAGTTCTCTAAATTAGCATAGATAAGTTAATAACAAGTTATAATAGATAAAAATTAACGAAAATGTTATAAAATATGTAAAATGTCTATTTATAAAGTGTCGAAAAAAACAATGTTAACAAGAACTATTTTGGCGCGAATTGAATCGCACTGTTTGTTATAGTTTCAGTTCTTTAACCCTTATTTTCAAACTGCCTTATTTTTCCTGTTTTTTATCCAAGAACTGAAACCGACGCTTAACAAACAGTGCGATTCAATTCGCGCCAAATTATTTGTTTAGAGTAGTTCTTGTTAACATTGTTTTATTTCCATTGTTTTTTGACTTTATAAATATTTTTAGCACTTTTTACATTTTTAATATTTTAACATTTTAGCACCAATTTTTATCTATTATAACTTGTTATTAACATTTTAGAGAACTTTTATACACTTGAAAATGACCTCGGAGAGATCGAAACGTCGTGATTTTTTATCGCTAATATTTATCTCAAAATCGATTTCTAAGAAACTACTTATTAAAAAAAAAAAACATCCATCACAACTTCTTGAATATATGGCTGGTTTTTACTTGAGAGGGAGTCGGACGGAGTTGCACTGAATAAGAAGCGTAGAGCTTATGATCTAACTATATACAAACTATTCACAGATCACGGGTCGGAGTCAAAAGGAAAAGACGAAAAAACAAATCAACTTCCGTCGGAAGAAGCATTGTGATCGGTCCCTGCTTAACCGGCGGGGAAAAGGCAGCGATGTTCGTTTCCCAGAGTTTGAGACTGAGTTAAATCGGACAACCTGTCATTACAATTATCCAAAAAATAATGATTATAAATCCAACGTATGTTAGGTGGCTGATTCTATATAAACCCGCTCGCTGAAATATATCTGCTAACCAGCAAACTCACCCAAATAACTTGGAAGAATCGCCTTTGTTTTGCTAGTTTTTCTATTCAGGATTAATCAATTATAGCGTGTCTAAATATGGAGGTGAACATATGATAGGATGGAGTACTGGGACCAAGAAGTTATTGATAGTGTAAAAAGTGACGGCACAAAACATCCTGACAATCCACTGGTACCTGCCATGTAATCACCTACTTCCCCCCGCTTAAACGTTATTGTGGTCGTAGCTGGTTCACTTTTATTCCACCTTGTAACAGCTGCAACATTTTGACTTCTGCTCTAGGGCAGTATTTTTCCGACTTTTCAAAGATAATCGATTTACACTAAACCAAGAAAACAAGGATTAGGTCATCGCCACTGCAATAGCGTAACTTCGCTGTGGAACAATTAATGTATCGTTAACCAACCAATCAAAATTCAGTTGATCTGATCAAACTCCATTCGTTAGTTAGCACATGTCATGTTGACTGTGAATGGGAAATGGTAAAGAAACCGCTGGGAAGTTAGATTTGGGCCTCCGTACTTCCCTTGGCGGGGGCCTGTCAAGGAACGAGTTCCCTATGGAGGCCAGGGTCCCAATTGCACTGGAGTTTGAAGAGGTATGAACTTTTATTCCTGCAGTTTCTGCGAAGAAGTTAATGATATCCCGCTGATAGATTGAGCCATGATCACGCAAGCCTTTGTTGATCCTCAGAATGAGACAATACTACCGCGTTATCGTTTCGGCTTTGGAAATCAAGAAAATAACTATTCTTCTATTTGGAACCGTAATTAACCGAGAGAGGATTCCTTTATCCTTTGAGGCCATGTGAAAACGGAGCTGGTCTATTTAGAAGGCGGTGCTAATTACACGGTTGACTTAGTAAAGTATTCTTTGTTTGACAGAACGTTTTAAAGGAGTTTACGCCAGGTACCAGAAAACAACATGTTTTCATCATTAATGATCAATGGCCGTAAATTTTCAAGTTAAGCACCGATAAACCCAGAGAAACAAAGAACAAAGTTGATGATTGCAGCAGTTTACACTCCCGCCGAGTTTGACTCCGAGCGACTGTTTTCTTTTTCAGCAGAATTACGCATCCATGTCTCATGGTTTTCCACCAACGCAAGGAGACTTCGCTGGCTTGGGGCAAGAAAGCCATTCATCGTCACATTTACAGTTTTTGGAGGTGCACATAAAGCCTGAGCCGAGTATGATCGAGGGCTCGGAAGACATCGATGTGGACTACATGATGGAGAAGCCGATTGAATTTGTGAATGGAAACGGGACGGTTTGTATTACCCCATGATCTAACAAGTGCTTTCCTTAGAATTTGCCTTTCGTTTTATTAAGTTATTGGTACTTTGGGCAGACAAGTGGAGGCCGAAGCTGCAGCTTAAGGTTGTAATTTTGGAATTTGTGACAGACTGCAAAATGCAAAAAATACCAAGGATAGATAAGAACTTGTTTACCAATTGAGCAAATTAGGAAAAGTTTAGTCCCTAAAGTTATGTATTGCGCCGCATACTCTTACTTGCTCCTCCACACTGCTGCATCATTGCTTAACTGTTATTTCGAGTTTTCGCAAGTTTCAGGATCGACCCTTACCTAACTTACAGATTCGGCTCTAGTGTCTATTCTAAAGCGTATACTTTAAGGGCCCTGTGTTGAAGGCGAACGAATTTATGATACTCCAACGCTTCAATGCATGTACCGTTTCATCTATATCGCATGTCAGCAGATTTTGACAGATAGTGTTACCATGCAACTTTCATTGACAAGTGGATGAGTAACTTACACCAATCCCATTCACGCTTCATCGAGCATATCCAAGAAATCAAAAGTGCCCGCACAGGTAGTTAAAACCTTTTACTCCAATAATGAGTAAGCTATGAGTAAAATCATTACAAGAAAAAACGAAGCAAAATAGAAGACAAAAAAATTGCAGAGTTCTGGTGTAGAGGTTTCTTTGGAATCGTGACATCGCACGATTTTACTAACTTACCAGAAAGACTAGAAAGCTAGTAGTGAGAGCCTATGTTTCGGTAAATGACACTGGAGCGAAAATCATGGGTTACAATAATCCTAAACAGTTTCAATTTGTAAAATATTGAAAAGCAAAACTATGAGTACCATGAGAAAGTCCTTCCACAGGTGTTTAATTTGAATGATCACTTTACAGGACTTCATTTCCAAGACCACACTGAAATACACGGCGGACCCACAGACTTCTTCAAAATTGTCTATTTTAAAATTTAGAATTGCTAGTAAACTGCTTCCGTAACGAATGATGTTTTGGTATCAGCTTCTTGTTTAATGTTTGCTCATATTTCAAATGGTAATGCGAGATAGTTATTCTACACGCAATGTTTAGATTTTCTAACCATTTTAATCTGACATGTACCAAATTATCTTTTTTCCTTTTTAAGATTTTGTTAACGGGGAAAAGCTAAATATTAGTAAGAATTAAGAAACATTATTTCAATTTTAAGAATAAAAGCAAGTCCATGATACATAAAACTATATCTTTAAAAAAAGAATAATATGATAATAATAATAACATTAAGCTATCTTTTTGCAATGTACTTATAAGGGAAAGGAACGCGACTATTTGAATCAGTTAAGGCAAAGCTTTTACCACCCGAACGGCCTTCCCTTTGTGGCCTGTTTTTCAGTTAATGTTATTAAAATATTCAAGTCTTGCAAATGTTTTTTCTTTGTTGTTTTTTTTAAAACAAATTTTATGTTTTCTGGAGACAACAAAGCGTTTTTGCCCTCAGGCTCACCAGTTATCTGAAAACCTGTTCATTGTGGGCCTCTGTTATCTTCCCAGCTCACGTTCTAAGCAGTGAATGTTGGCGGAGATTTGCCCTCAGGCTTCCCTGCTAGCAGAGGTCTCTCACGACGAGGCAAAAAGGAGAGAAAGGAGAGAGACTCTCTCTCCTTTCTCTCATTTTTGCCTCGTCGTGAGAGACCTCTGCTAGCAGGGAACCCTCAGGCTCACCAGTTATCTGAAAATCTGTTCATTGTGGGCCTCTGTTATCTTCCCAGTTCACTTTCTAAGCAGTGAATGTTGGCGGAGACAAAATATTCCCCGAAAATGTACGTTTGCTTTAGTTACCTTCTTTTGGTTTCTATAGGAAAAGCACTATAACTGCCACTTGAGGATCTGATAGACTTCAGAGGTATTAACATACTTCCCGTAATAGGGAGCACAGTTTCCAGTCAAGGGAATCAAGGATTTTTAATGGAATATCATTGTACAGTCAACAAACGAGTAGAAAAAAGTAGTGCTCTGTTATAAACTTTAATTCACTTTATATGATCACAACGCATCAATTTGCAAAGTCGAAACTTAGAACCACTTTCAGCCTGCATATTAAGGTCATACTTAAGGATTTGACTTGCCTCTACGGGATTAAGAATGGTGATTCAGCAGCATTTGAAAACGGAGTAAAACCATATATGTTAAAAAATAGAGCTGGGTGTTATTTGAAGGGACACTGTTACGGACACTGTTTCTAACATGAATTATGATCCAAAATACTCCTTGGAAAATATTCATTAAAAAAACTGATCCTTTCGAAATTATTGTTCTAATTACCGCTTCTTAATCCTCCTTTGCTAAAGTCTATTTGATCTTTTGAGTAATCCGGGAAGGTTCCAGTTGCTCTTCACCTTAAACAACTGAGTTCATTACATAATCTGAGCTGTTTGAAATCTAAGTTGTGATCCACGGTTCAAACTGTAAACAATTAATGTTAAACAACAACGTAATTAAATTGAAATAGCCATCACAGAACAAATTTTCTAAAAGTTTAGTATTCAGTCTACGTCTATCTTTGAAATCACCTCCCGGTTTAGTTCTCTGACTTAGCCCGCTTACATGTGTTTCTTCGCATTCTGGCTTGCTAAAAAGAATCCGCTCGTTAGAAAAAGTCTTCTGTTCAATGAATGAGCTGTCAAACAATTCAATTTTGCTCTCCACCCTTAAGAGTAGGATTAATTACGTATTCTTAGCTATGAATTTGATAGACTATAGTCGAGCTGCCGCCGAAAATCTAAAGATAATTCTTTAAGACTTTTCAGTATTCACGACAGCGATTTACCTCATTCACAACGTTAATATAAATGGATCAGCCAGTTAACTCTTGTATGGTATGTCCTTTTCTTGTGCTCTTTGCCCAGTTGGTAATTGCTGTCTTACTTACAATACTCTGTCTTACTTACAATACTCAGATTTGTCGACTTTTTGCTTATCATGAAGTTAGCGAAAGAAGGATTTAATGTTGGTTGCAAAGCATTGATGAAATTGCTTTTCTCTAAACGTGTAGAGCAACCCTATATCCGTTTATGAAAAGGCGTCGTTGAGAAATATCTCACGGCACCAAAAATCACTCGACACAAAGTTTTTGCTGCGATATATTTATTTTATGAAAAAAATTGACTTTTTCGTGCTCTTTAACCAGCAAGTGTCATAGCGTGCTAAACGATTTATCAAGTGGGTAATATAAATAGGAGACATCAATTATCAAAATCTCGTCACCTTAAAAAAAAAAATTATATATATAATATATATATCATATATAAATATGAGTGACTTGCATGACCACCGTAAAAGGGATAATACTTCGGATTTGTTCGAACTTAAGGCACGAATCCCCGAATATGTTTGTTCGTTCTCTTCTTTTGATCGATTTTGAAGACAAACTTTTATTTCTATATCACTACTGAATGCTTACAATAGTTATCATCTAACAGAAAAGCTATCCTTAATTGTGTTGGACTGGTAGTGTCGGCATCTGAAACTTACAGGTCGATATATTTCATTTATCATTATTCCTTCAAGGAATAATGATAAATGAAAAATATCGACCTGTAAGTTTCAGATGTCGACACTACCAGTGAACTGACAACTTCAAGAGTCTTTACCGTTTTGGTTTATTTTCTGCATCCATTCTGATGGTTGCTAGACATGCAGTGACTGACATGGAGTCAGGAAACGAAAAATGAAGTTGTCAGTCCATATTTTCCAATAGCAATATATTCTACATCCTCTCAAGAAGTTTTTCATGGCAGGTGACAGAAGAACAAGAACGGCGACGGATACGAAGGGAAAGAAACAAAGTTGCCGCGTCTAAATGCCGCAAGAAGAGGAAAGAACATGTCAAAACACTGGTTGAAGTATATATCAATAGCAGCCAATAAACAATTATTTATACTTTAATATAGTCTGTCTCCTTAAATAAATTGAAACTAGCTTGAAAAAGAAGCTCATTCGGATCAATCTTTTCACGCGTGTTTCACGTACTATAGAGCTTTAGCCCTAAAGCACTCGCCAGTCCAGGAGCCAATACATGAGTTATTATTCATGTCACTATCACTACCTACCCTCCTACCCTGCATTTATTTATCTAGCCATGAATCCGCTTTACTTCGCATTCACACGCTTAGCCCACCTGCCCACATTCTTTTCTTTCTGCCTTGACTTATATGACTTCATTTATTTGTCTTTTGTGTAATCCTACCTTCTGCGTTTTAATTCGACTTTTTTCGGCCTTTTTATTCAACCTCTTATCATTGCCTTTGGTTAATAATAAAATTATCATTTTGATTTCAGGCTTCTGAGGAGCTTGAAAATCAAAACAACGATCTTCAGGGACAGATCAGCAAGCTACAGGCAGAAATCAAACAACTGGAATTCATGCTTGACTCACACAGCTGCTCAAAATACTCCCATAGTCAACAGGAAGACGAGGAATATGGACTGAATACAACTTAGTTACGGGGAGCAAAGGAACAACAACAAACCAGTGTTTTCATAGCAAAGAATCAGCTGATTGTCCCCGCACCAGTCCGGTGGTCAGCGGTGTCTTACATATGTTGACGCGCTTAATTTTGACGTTTGGTTTCCTCAAGAGAGATACTGAACGTTTGCATTCATTATATGGTTTACTGTTTCTTTGAGCAGTTCATTGCGGCCTCAGTGAATATGCAGTGGTGCTTCCCTGTGGAACATTGTTCCCTGTTTCAATTCGGGAAAAGATGCTCAACACTTGGTTTTGGTTGGACAATGTAACCCTTAAAATGAGTATTTCGACTCTTTGGAGGCTAAAATTAGAGACACGTATTGTAACATTTCTTCACGTTTTCTTCTTACGAAAAGTTTGTAATGTAATGATTTAATAGTTAGCAGTTCAGGTTAAAAATTAAATATGAAACCTTGGTAACAAAAGAGGACGAAAAAACATAGTCAAAGAGGGAATGGTTATTTTCAGGTTGACTGTTTTATTAAGACAGTCGATTAAATAAAAACCATTAATAATGTTTTCCTTCCAACTTAGAGAATCAATTGTCGTGTTTTCGGAGGTGGTAAAGAAATATAATAAAAGAAACAGAGAGAGAGAGAGGGAAAGAAAAGAAAAGTAAAAAGTGCAATATGAACATAAACTTGTCATGCAGCAGGCTGTTATTCTTTAACAAACTGACGATTCTGGGGAGTGCTACATTGTTCAGCCAGGAAAGGCGAACAAGAAGTAGAAAGCCGCTAAAAAAGTAGGTGTAACCACTGTCAGTGTTACTGTACAATTTATAAGGCCCGACTTTTGAAAATGTTTTACTTATGTCACTACACTTAGCAGTCAAGACACAGGGAGAAAATCGGTACGTGTTCGATGTCTAACAAGAATACACTTTCATAAGAGCATAAACTGAACAAAGTCCCCTAAAACATATTTTGCTTAACCGCACTTGACTTTATAGGCCTGAAGGAAGAAACAACAACAGGATGTAACATAATATTTCGAAACCTTTATTTGCAAGAAAGGATTCGAACAAAAATCCCCTGCATTTAGCTGTGATGATAACAGTGTTTAACACGGAAAACCATGTCAAAATATGGGAGATTCACTTAGTGTCAAGATGGCTTGTTAGGAAATGACATTAGGCGTTTGGCACATTGGTGCAAGGAAGTATACTAAAAAAGAAAGCTCTTAGTGGGTCTTGGCGCCAACAATAAATCAGCGGGTTCAGCAAAGAGTTAAGCATGGCAGCGGTACGAGCCCATGGTAAAAGCACGTCGTGTATGCCATCGTAGCCCGTCTTTGGTTTGAGAAGAAGAGTTAACGCCATCGGCGTAAAGCTGAGGAGAAGGGTACCAGCAACAAACAGAGTGGTTCGGAGCGCCTTCTGATCCTCTCCGTTGCGTCTCAGTTCTACTTCATATCCAGATTGTTGCTGTTCTCTGATCATCTTACGATGGCGAATAATTTCAGGGAAAATAACAGCGTAAGAACTGATTATAAACAGAATACAGGTTGTCAAAACAAACGCTATTAAAAAACCAAAGTACCGACTCACTGCTGAGTCAAAAGACATGATGACGCCAGCTTGGACAAAAAGGCCCAACACCCAGCTGATCATCACCGCCGCCATAATATTTTTGGAATTTACCATTTCGACATAACGCAAAGAACATTTAATAGCAATCAATCTTTCACCAGTCACCAGAGAAACATGTAGAACTGACTGCAAAGACAACAGAGCGAAAACCCAGTTGTGAATTTTCCTAACCATACAGTTGTTATGGATACCATTAAGCTGGAACGTTTTCCACAAAATAAACGTTGGTTGCCCAACGAGTCCACAAAGCAGATCAGTTGTCGCTAAACAGGCTAACAAAATGTTAGGATTGCTCTGGAGACTTATCCTTTTTATCACTGCTGTTATCGTCAATGCATTAAGAAATATAGTGAAGGGACAAGTGATGCTGTTGACAATTACTGCGAGGACATAACTTACTTCAGTCTGGATGGTAAACTCGCCGTTGTCAATACCTTCATGAAAACGATCAGAACAGTCTGCAGGAGAAACTGTTTTACTGCCGTTGAGACCGGTTGCGTTACTTTGCCCAGGATTTGCCATGTCTTTAAAACACAGTATTTTGTTGAGTCGAAATAAATCGTTTCTTTACACGACTGTGCGCCTGTGATACGTTCCAGTGTAGCTCTGTTAATATAAGCCGTCCACAAACAATTGAAAACTTAACATATTGTTACACTTAATTGGATTTACCTCGAATGGAAACAAATATTAAAAAAGACCAATTGGCCATTACCGAAACCTGTCAAGAAAAGTGCCAATGGAACGACCTCCTTTTTGCGCAAATCAGTCTAATTGGCTCTAGCAAAGGACCCGCCTCACGAAACTGATACTGAGGAGTGTGGCGGTTTCTGATTGGCTGTGAGATTTCTGTCTGAAAAGGATTCCAAAAATACTTATTAACACCAATAACAATAATAGCTGTGGATGCCGAAATATAGCTCTTAAGAGTTACAGAAAAAGCCTTGACATCGCCCCAATATGGATTTGCGCTGAGAGTTTAAATATGAGACGTTGTGAGAATGGACCATCTGGCTTTTAATGAGTTAATTGGTATTTTCGAATGAAGATTCAATTCTGCAAAATAGATTTTTTGATAAAAATGACGTGCAATTTCAAGATAAATAGTTGAATTTTAATTTTTATTGAAAATAAAAAGAAAGCGATTTCGCTGCGCGACAGCCGTAGATCTACAATTACCGAACTGATTCAGATAATAAGGGTCCCCAAATGCTGAAGTTCACATCGTTATGAATTAACTTTGAAATTTCTTCAGCGAGTATTTTTACCCCGTCTAAGAGACATCCACAGAATTGAACGAAACGAAATAAATCTCCCTGTGAAAAATTTACCACGTAGACATAATTAACCAAGCCTCCTTATAAAATAATAACAATAACCAAGAAAAAGTAAATATTTATTTATTTAGAAATGAATGAAAATACGAAGTTGCTGGTCGCATTATTTGCTTTGGGAATCAATGTCCTGCAACGGCAACATCAAAATTCTCCTTTATTCTTAATGTGGAAAGTGGCTGGCTTTGTAAGTCAGCATCACTGTTTTTAAGGAGATGAGTATCAACAACACATTCACAACTGAGTTCCATAATCCTATGATTCCACATCCCCGTACTTATACTTCTGTGGCTACGAATTAAGTAAGATTCATACTTTTAGTTTCGAGTTATAGTGTTACCTCAGCAGATAATGCTAATTAGAATTTGCTCTCTCTAATTGCGTTTCTGAAGAGGAAGAGCAAACACAGTGGTCACTGAGAAATTCAAAAGACGATCTTTTAGTCTTTTATACGCCTCCGGTTAATATCTTTCTTTCGTTTATCCATGGTGATCCTACAATTGGATTTATCAGAACATTACTTCACAGAAAGCCTTTCATTTTTAAAACTTTACCCATGTTAATTTAAAGGAAGAAGAAATTATCTTACACCGTTATAAGTTCATTGATAAGTCAATTCAGGTTTGATTTGTTGTTGTTATTGTTGTTCAAATCGCCAGTCCGCGCATGATAGTTGATAACGTATTTTCGAGTATCCCTCTTCTCTGTGAATTGCGCAGTAACTGCGCAAGCGCGTCAACCTCTCGTGTCCACAACAATGAGGCACTTGCTGTCTGCAGGTGCCGGAAGTAAGATAAATATCAGAACGAACTACAACCCTCCTTATTTTTTGCTGCGAATAGTAAGGCGGGTGAAATTTCTTACTATCTTGGTCTTGAAGAAAGCAAAATTGCAACTTGCAACTTATATAACCTGTTCAGGAATTAAAATGCGCATTTTGCAATTTCAGCGTTTTTCGCACTGCACGTGTTACCAAGACAGACGCTAACGAGTGACAAACACCTGCCCAGACTAACCTTGGTTTGTCAAAGAAAATATTGGACCTTCCTTTCATAAAATAGCAGTTTAATAGAAAGAACGCTTTTCCTCAAATAGACCTACAGGCTTAAACCAGATTGTTTACCACTTCACTACATTAGTTTGAAAGCGTTACATATTTTTCTTTTTTCCTTTTTGCTCAGCTGAAACAAGGCGAATTTAGCTCCTAGGTGTATCATATGTTGTATTGGTTTACAATGTTTTTCCTCGTTTTTCTGTCATAGAATTTAGACCATTTTTTTTCCTCTGCTTACATAAAATTTTTTATTTTTTCATAGCTAGTATTTGTTTTGAAACAAGGCTCTATGCCTTGTAGTCTATGATTGGTCTTTTTAAGACTGTACAGATAAGGATGGCGTCAATTAGCCGTAAATGAACAAGGTGATATATTTAATATTAATAATGTCATCAGTCCCCAAATAAGTGTTAGGCCAGCTCTTCAAAGATCAGTGGCGTCAGTATTTGCTTTAGATTGAACGGAGTTTCGAACAGGACCGTGGCAGAAGAGCTTTAGTTGGTAATTTTATGGGCTAACGGTGGTACTGTCTTTAGACATGGAATTTCCTGTATCCTCGCAGGTAAGATACATATTCCCTAAACGTCTGCAAAGTTTACATAGACCCATCTGAAGAACCAGTTATAATGGCGAGTTCGTCGACTTAACTCGAATTTAAATCGATTAACTTAAATGACGTTTATTTGATGGAATATCATCTGGTTTCATTTGGTAGATAATCAAGGCAGGGCATCTACTGTTGTGTGATAACGACAGTATTTACTTTGCGGACCAAACGGATAATTGGCACTTGTCGTTCGATGTCAGGGTGTTTTGACAAGGCAAACAGAAGTCACCTGTTCAATATAAGTCACATAAACCTTTTCAAGCAGAAAAATGAAAAAACTTTCCTTAGAAATCATAGACTGCATTTATTAATCAAAGCAAATACGAACTTTAAAAGAAGTAACTGATAATTTTCCTTAGTTATATGAAAAAACAAAGTCGGGCACTCTAAAATAATTAACCACCTGCATCTAAACAACTCTTAATGACAACCTCTTAACAAGAACCTGTTCCCGGGGACCTTCCAGTATCTAGAAAAAAATTTGTATCTTATTTGTAATCATATCGATATGCAAGGGATTTCATCTATTTGTATCACCACTGTCATTCTGATGGAAAAACTAAATGGTGAGTAAGAAGATTAAAACCTAGCTTTGGCATCAACGATGTCGCAGGATGACTAAACATGACTCAAAATAGATGAATCAAGGATGGTGCTAAATTTCTAGTTATAATTCCATTCTTTCTTTTTTTTGGCCTTTATTTAAATGTTAGTACTGAACACTAAGAGACCGAGGTTAAAAAAAATACATAGCAAAAGTAGGCTTCCGGCATTTCAGACACGCTGCAGGTTCGCTAAGGACCCTAATTTGCGCTCACCAGGGAGCGATTAGTTAATTTATTGAACAATTTAATGAAATACAAACACTTCATACGAGTTTGAATGTGAGTGTGAACAAAGAGCAAGATAAAAAACATTGGAAAACATACAAAACTGAAATCTGTCCTTCGTTTAGACACAAAGGTTAAATTTATTTCAGTATTGGATAATTACATATTTAAAATATTTAAGACAAGCGCTCCATAAAAGTGTGTACCCAGATAATGTTTACCCAGTAAGTTAGTAACAAAGAGGAAGAAGATAAAGAGAGCAGAGCGAGGTAAACGCCTTTTACACACCGCATCTTTGAACAAAATCTTAATTCTAAAAGTAAGTTCGTAGAGTTCGCCGCTTAGGTCAAGATCTACAACACTGAAAGAGAGGCGTAGTGAGAGAAGATATACATTATCATGAAACGCTATCATTATCAACCGACTGCATTTGACTGAGTGTATTTTTACCGACTGTGAGCCCTAAAAGAACCTGCTTGTTTTTTTTTTCAGGCTGGCAGTGGAATGTACTTGGAACCTGGAACTGTCATTCGAAGTGTAGGGAATCCAGTCCAGGAAGCTAACATGATGATGGATCCGAATTTCGAGATTGCGGATCTTCCAGTAAAGCTTGAATTGCGTTACGTCATAGAATCAAAGATGGCGGCTCATGGCGTGGAATGTCCGAAAGTTGATTACCGCACAAAAGATCTCAAGAACCAACAAGTATTTGTGTGCTCCTTTATTTTTGGGCATTTTTTAAAATCGTTAAAATGTCATTTTTTGCCTTAAGTTTCAGCTAATAGTCTAAATCAGTTTATTGTTTTGCATATTTTAATAAAATACTGTTTCCCGATATGGTGACCGCAGCTTGACATTGAAATGTTTTTCCTTAGCAAGCGTGATCGTCAGGAAAGGCGATCGAAAACTATGTAAAACATCGGTATCTCTTGCCGCAAAAGACACGGGCTAGCAACTGTGATTTGTGAAACAAGGAGATACAATGCCGCAAGCCAAGGAATTTGTAATCACTAATGGCGAATGTTGTTTCTTTTAACTTGCTTACCGTTTCAAAACTTTACCTTGCATTCCACGGAACGTGATAACCCACATCGTATAATTTTGCCATAAACGGTTTGTAGCTTGCCATGTACGGCCTTTGTTACATCTCTGAGCGGTCCGTGCAAACAGGAAAATGTAAACCCTAAAGGAAGAATAGAAAGTTTTCAGGCGAATAAGCATTTTAAAAAATAATAGAACAGAACAAACGAAGGTTTGTCCAGACTACAATTACCTTAGAAGTCTTATTTTTGGCAGCTGAAAAAGTACTGCAAGCCAAGAGCGGGTGTATGACTCCGTGCCGAGGATAATAAATAGATTTAGCCAGAGCTAAAAGCGAAGCTCTCGATAATATTTAAAGTTTGTCCAAACCAAATATAGAATCGTGTAGTGCTAAGCGGCGAAGGCAACGCCGGAGAACGGTGAAAAACAACAATAGGTCTAATTAGCAAAAAAGCAACTTTGCTCGTGCAAAAGTGTAGCACACTTTTTTTGTACATTTCTTTGCCGTTGTTTTGAACGACTTCAATGTGAAACTTCCAGAAACTTCTTTGTTACACGCTTTTTGGAGGAAATGTCGTACGTGTTTTCGTTCACCTTTTTTTTCACTGCCGCTCATTTTCACCTTGCATATTGTTCGCCACTTGCATTTCTCATTTTGTCACCGCCGCTACAAAGTTTTCATGTTGTTCTTCCAACAAAAAGAAATGTCTCCTTTGTTTTTTTTTTTTCGGCTTGAGCTTGGCTGGCCTGCCGCCTACTTTCTCTTTTTCTTTGTCTTTCTCTTGCTCTATATTCTAAATTTGTGGATATGACAATTAATCTATTAAGCTTAGTACTTTAGACACCAAAGATAAAGAAACAATCTCCGCTTTCCGTTTTCGTCTTTATTGACTGTTTAGTTGTCCCTGCTTTACAAGACGCCCGTGGCTATGCGATTTCCCGCCAAAATAACCTCGAGTTGCATTTGCGTTGCCATACCTGTTGATTGAGTTCGATCGCTCGGTGTACGGTCACGTGATTACCAAATTTTCTAGGATGGGTAGATTTACTTGCGCTCATGGAGCTCGGCTAAAAAGTTATTTTAATAAGTATCTGGATGGTATGATTCAGAAAATGTCCTCCTATTCAGAACAAAACTTATTTTAATTACTCGTACTAGTAACCGGCAATGGTGCACAAACAAATTTATACTAGAGACGAATTTTACTACATAATTTGTCTAGGTATTTTAAGCGGGAAACGACCGCGGGAAACAGGAAACATTGTGAAAATGTAGAAACCAGTCCCTCTCATGTGGAAATTACCTCAAAAACCCGTCTACGTTCCGTCTAGATATAAATTTAGAGACAGATAATCCGTCTAAGACGAATTATCCGTCTGTTAGCGCGTCTTGAAGACGTGCTAATAGACGAGTCAGCCTCAGACGAATTTTACTCCATAATTCGTCTTAGCACCGAATTTATACTAGAGACGAATTATCCGTCTGAGACGGATAATCCGTCTAGAAGGATAATTCGTCTCTAGTATAAATTCGACCAATGATAAGATAAAAATATGAATGTTAAGGATAAAACTATTAGTTTCTCTTGAAACGGGAAAACTCGTTGAAAAGTTGTGCAAACTTGTGTACGGCGTATGCAGTTTCTTCGACAGATGAATGCTACGCTAGGCACTGGGAATTCATTACTCATAAACGATCATTTAATACTATTGGCATCATGTAACCTCAGAAAAATCAAGTATAATCGCTCCACTTAAATCTAACTGCTTAACCCAACCATTCTTCCCGCTTGGACACTTAACGCCAAGTGGTTACATACAACGGTTGCCGATTCCGAGTCTAAGAGTGGTCTAATACACGCCTGGGAGGTTGTAAACAGATGCTACAGAAGACCATTCATTGTCGGCCGGTATGAACCTGTTAAACACTCTGACACCGTAACACTAATTACAATTTTCGCGCCAATTTTCCTTGCGGGTGGGAGGGGGGGGGGGCTCTGAATCATTGGAAGGATAAGATAAAATTATGCAATTAGTTCCAAAACAGGTTGAATTATCTTCCTAACTAAAAACCACCTTGTTTGGTTCGTTTAAATGTTGGCAGACGAAAGCACATCGTACATATCAAGAGATCTTAATTTATAAAGATGTAAGAATTTAAGTAGAAAGTGTTTGTACGTTATTTAAGTAAACTTCTCCCCCGGAAAACAACCTGTCATGATCTATCTATGACTTATGTTTATGTAAGAGGTGCTTAGCTGATTCTTCGTCAGCTTTTTCAAGAAGCTGGGGGAATTATGTTATTTTATAACATCCTATATTTAGTTGTATTTCTTCTGAGTTCTTCTTCCTTTCTTATCTTCATATGTTCGTTGGCGACTTTTTCTTTCCATTGATGCAGCTCACCCCCGAAGAAGAACAGAGACGGAAGCTTCGACGAGAACGGAACAAGGTGGCTGCTTCGAAATGTCGGATGAAGCGAAAGGAACATGTAAACACGCTGAGAAAGGTTGGTGCCCGATATATTTATTCTCTCGAGAGAGACTGTTCAGTTGTTCTTAAATACTTCAGTAATATATATTTAGCAAACAAAGCTTTTCTGGCTGCTGGTGATTTGTTGCTTGCAACGAGTCCCTAGGTAGTAGAAAACAAAATTGTGACAGTTTGACAACAATCGTTCAATCCACCAGTAAGCCAGAGCGATTTTTGGTACTGACTTCATGTGACTTGGTGGTACTGACAGTGAGCGCTAAAGGCCCATGTTACCAATTTAAGTGGCCTGTCAATGGTAGGTGTGCAGATCTTGTTTACTGCTCTTCTGTTTATAAACCGATCTTTGTCCTTGACTGTCTGACGTTTGTTACAGTCGTCGTAAGGTAGTGGTCGGTTTCGTATGCTGTAAGGTTACAGGAAAAGTGGAACTGTTTCAGCTGAGGTATGGAAATTAGTCGATATCGTAACTGGACCATGCAGGTTAACGCTTGTATTTTATTTAGTTCGCCGTTCCTTCAAGTGTTTCGTCTAACAAATGCGCGTTGTTGTTTTTACTGAAAACGCTGCCTGGGTATTCTGTTTCGTCGTGTTGGCTGTCAGGCATCACTAGCTGCCCCTGGTCATTCGCCCCGGCTTTCTTTCATTTATAATACTACAAGAATTCTTCCGGCGTAAATAACCCCTATAATATTTTCAGTTGTGTTCTGTCTTTTTCAGGCCTCGGAAGAGTTGGAAGCGGCCAATAGTCAGCTGGAATCTGAAATCGCTTACCTCACAGCCGAGAGAGAACAACTTGAAATGATGCTCGATGCGCATGTCTGTAATATGGAGAAAGTCACTGGCCGAGGACCTGCTTAATCACAGCTGCAACTTTTAGATGTTGTCTTTACGAATATGTTGACGGATGTCTCCACCAGCTACGACGTGATATTTTTGAAATGCTCAAGAAAGAAGTAGACTTTTCAAGTTCTGACAAAAGTCTTTTGAGCTGGCTATCTTCATAGAAGGCTATGGACGTCATCCCTGATGGACTAAGCGAGCCACGAATAACAAGAACCGTGAGTCAGAAGGAGAACTTGATGGCAATTCTTGAACAAAATTAACATTAACCAGTTTCTAACAATACACGTAATATCTTTCAAATCGTTCATTTTAATATCATAAGGTGAATATCAAATCTGGGTCAGCTTCGGATTTAGAATCCTATTACTTTTCTGCTGTGACTCGCAAATGATACCACATTACGTCGTTAGATTCATTCTATCCGCTAAACACTGCAAGCTGCTGTTTGGATAAAAAGACTCAAATAACAACAAGTTTACACTAGGCTCGATTTCCGCTGCTCTCACGAAGAGCTCTTTCGAGGGGGGTGGGGGGGAACAGATGAGTGCAGGCTCATTTTCCCGTACAGCGGCTGGTAATCGAGCCTAGTTTACACCGAAATAGGGCTTTCCCCTCCACGACCAGTTGTTTGTAAATCCTAGGTGGATCAGCTAAAGTTTTAACAGAAAAAAGGTCTACCTCATTTATAGTTCCTGTTCAAGAGCCTAGTCAGATTTTAATAAATATCATTCGTCCCCCTTCTGTGAATAGTGTGTTTAATGATCAATCAATTTGGTCAATCTCCATAACACAATCTGTTTCCCCACACTAGAGAGTAATTTGCTCTGTTGATAGCACTGACCAGCGACTTTAAACAACCGAGACCAGAGTGACGCCGTTATAATATCATTAATCGCATGACCTTAAATTCGGTATTTACAATATTAAGAAACACTCTCCACTTTGAACTGAATTTTTCTCTGGAAGAGAAAGCCCTAAAACCGATATCCTACACTATATCTATTATCATCGTGGCCCTGTACTATACTGAGATGCAAAGTTTTACATGTAAACTGTAAATATCCTTTGCTGTAATGTACTTTTATTTCTTTTCGTCTCTGAACAGAACAATAGTCGACTTGGCTTAAGATGAAACACCATAAAATATAACAAAAAAAAAATACTTTTTACTTAAATGCCTTTTTTAAAAACTTGTTTTGTATTCGCTCTGCTTTTTTAATGTTGCTGGTATTTTTTATTGTAGCAAGGAAATTCTTCAAAAAGTTTATGGTAGAAGTGGCGTTGCAATCAGAGAATTAGGTGCAACCTGTTTGAATAATCAACCAATAATCAAACAAACTTTAAGGGATTAAATTAACCAACTATTCAAACAAAAAACAAACCGAGACAGAAATTCCCTGAGAGTTAATGCTCATAACATAGCTTTTTTAAAATTATTTTTTGACACTTCTAGAATTCCAGCTCCGTATTTACATCAAAGTTTTACAAAGCGATAAGAAGCAACAAAGACTAAGACTATATAAGTCTTAAGTAATGGTCCAGATAAGAAGGACCAAAACGCAGTGAACACGTCGGAATGTAAAAAGGTGCTAACTTTACTATTGTCTCTACTAAGGTTCTGATTGGTCTAAACATCAAATTTTACGAAATCTTCGCAAAGCAACATGTATGTTAATCCATTTTTTCTATCCAACTTCCTTATAACAAAATCTCGTCTGAGTCTAAGTAACACAAAAATCGTATGTGCGGATCATGTAAAATTGTGAACATTTCTTGGCCATTGTTTGCAACTCTTGTGATTGGTCGAAATGTTTTAACACAAAAATACACCCTTTAAAAGTGGAGTTTAAATACATTTTCTTTCGCAAAAAGCCTTTTTGTAGATTTATGCATTCTCTACGTAAAAATGAAAACATTTCTATGTGAGGAAAGCGTATTGCGCCACAACAAAAGAAAGTACTTCCCTTCTTACCTGGATCATTACTTAAAAGTTGTTATGTGAATGGTCGGTGCTCCCTAAAGTTATAATTAAAGTTGTGACTGTTAGTGACATCACTGCAAGGAGTCCAAAGCTGTGACCTCCTTTAAGGTGGCTCCGTCATTAATACAAGCGCATTTAGCTGTGAGAAAGTTTTCGTCATAACTTTTTTGTTTTTAACGCGATGGTTGAGAAACTTTCCAAAGAACAGCAGATATCATTCGGCAATAATACAAAATATTCCGATTTCGTTGATGGTAAATATATTTTGCTAAATTAGCGCCTAAAAGGACCCTACTATTCAAAGAAAATTGCCGCGTCTAGTAAAAAAATTGCTGATATTTTTTACTGAAATTTCTGGTATCGGCTTTTAATAATTGATATAATAAATATGCCAGACGAATTTCAGAAAAATCGTTGGAGCAGAAGTCCGTAACCTAAAAGTCGCTCAAAATTTAGCTGTCAAATTGTTTTGGAATTTCAAGAATAAATTACTATCGGGTAGAAGGAGACACCAGTTTGAATTCTCGGGACAAGTAAATCCAACGTTTGCTAATTCTTAAAACAAAAGCCGATTGCCTATCGTGCTATTCTTTAAAAGGTACTTTTTAGTTTTAGAAAATACTATAAATTGCTCCAAACCTTTCTCTGAAGTAGCATGACTTGTTTCTTGACATTTTTAAAATATCTCTTGGCAGTTTTGGCTCAAACTCCTGCTACATACATTTTGATGTATTGCAATGCATTTTCAACGACTTTACTGCCGTTCGTTGCTTCCAACTCAGGAAAAAGGTATTGAGATTGAACGCTACCTCGTATCAAAGCTCAGATAGAACTGTCCAGCACCTTTGTTTATGACTAAAAAATGAGCACGAGTGGCAGTTCTGCAAAGAATTCGCACCTCACCCAGGGGGGACGAACGGCAATGATGCCCATGCCTGTGAACCGAATTACATCACAGTGTAAAATAAAATAATCGCACAAATACTGCCCGTGAATAAATTTACAACTCTGAAATTTTTGTCACTCCTTCCTTCAATGAATGGGTAGTTTTTTCTTGATTATTACGTTTTGCTCTGCAATACATGTTTATGCAGATCGGTTCGCAGACATGGGCATCATTGCCATTCGTCTCCCCTGGCTGAGGTGCGAATTCCTTACAGAGCTGCCGCTCGTGCTCATTTTCTGGTCATAAACAAGGGTTCTGAACAGTTCTATCTGAGCTTCGATACAAGGTAGCTTACAATCCCAATACCCTTTTATTGAATTGGAAGCAACGTACAGCAGGAACAGCCGTTGAGGATGTATTGTATTACATCAAAATGTATGTAGCAGGAGTTTGAACCAAAACTGCCAAGGGATATTATAAAAATGTTGAGGACGAAGTCATTTGACTTCAGAGCAAGGTTTGGAGCAATTTATAGTGCTTCTAAAACTAAAAACTACCTTTTAAAGAATAGCACGAAAGGTAATCGGCTTTTGTTTTCAGAATTGGCAAACATTGAATTTACTTGTCCCGAAAATTCGAACTGGTGGCTCCTTCTACCTGATAGTAATTTATTTTTGAAATTCTAAAACAATTTTACCGCTGAATTTTGAGCGACTTTTAGTTGAAGACTTCTGCTCCAACGATTTTTCTGAAATTTCTTTGGCATATTTATTGTATCAATAAAAGCCGATACCAGAAATTTCAGTAAAAAATGTCAGCAAAATTTTTTGCTAGACGCGATTTTCCTTGAACAGTAGAGTCCTTTTAAGCGCTAATTTCTCAAGAAATATTTACTATCAGTAAAATCGGAATAGTTCACATTATTACCTAATGACTTCTGTTGTTCTTTGCAAAGTTTCGCAGCCATCTCGCTTAAAACGAAAAAGTTATGACGGAAAATTAGTCACAGCTAAACGCTCTAGTATTAATTACGGAGCCACCTTAATTAACTCCCATTCTTTAATGCAGACATTAACTTGTCAGAAGTCGAGGACAGTCTCCAGCTGGCTTCTGACTGGATTAATTCTGTAAGAAAGCATGTGAATAAATCAAAAGCAGTCACACTTTTGGGCTCCTTGCTGTAAATGTAACTGGATAAATTGTTAGACAAAGATCATGGATGAACTTGTTACAAGTTAGAACCAATGTAAAAGTTTCGATTTCGTAGTATTTTAATGTCTGTAAAGTATATTTGTATTTAACTTTGAAAACGGTTGCTATGCAATATGTAATAATGTCTAGATAGATATAAATAGATAGTGAAATGTAATTACTAAGTAAATAGTGAATAGTTTATGCATCAATAAAATTAACAGCAGCTTCTGTGGCTCTGTTGCTCAGGCTTTATTTATGGCTCAAAATGCACGTAACCATACAAGTCTAACTAGTCAACTTTAATTGGCCAGACTAGCTTGGTTACTATGTACATATGTATCCACCCAACTATTTTGCAAGTAGGTATCAGAGGTCTGGGGATGAAGCGTATAGTGAATTTTGGGATTGGTGTTTGTATTTTGCAGCCGTTATGAGGGTGTGACATTCTACAGCCAGCCTTCCTCGTGTTAGTTCGTACGTTCGTTCGTTCTGAGTAGTAGCCTCTTATTCACTTGTGTTAACATAGTAAAGAGATTATGGTGTTAGGTACTTTGAAATAAGATATCCTAAAACCCTAAGGGTGGAACCGTTACCTTGGTTGTAGGTACAAAATCCCTTTATTTACCTGCTGGTTTTTAGGGGTATTCGTGTTTAGCTTTGGTGCATTTACTTTTCCTAAACCGCAGTTGGGATTTGTATACATGTTTAATGATAATAAACGGCACGATGGCTCAACTGGCCAATGCCCCAGGATAATATAACTCGTTTACGTTTGTCCGGTTGAGTAGTGAAGGAAAAAGCGAGACTTTACGACAGTTTTATCCTCAAATGACTTCCGTTTACAAATCACAGCAATCATTAGCCAATCACTTTATTATAGTAACAAAGACATGATGAGAAACAGTCCAAACACAATAATAATACTGCTCTGCCTGTTAGGAGCATCAGTAGATTTAAGGCAATCATCATACTCTCTAAAATCAACTTTGGTGATGCCACAAATTTGAGCAGTTTTGCACTTTTCGTCACAGATTTCTGCCCCAGCACTAACAGAGTTGTACCGAAAGTATTTTTGAAAGTAAGCGCTATCCTGGGACTCAAACTTTTGTACCAAAGAGTGAAGAGACTGCGGGCTCACATCAGGAATGTTGAACGCCTCAGTCGCTTTGTATTCAATCAGCCATTCAGGTTTGTTCATCAGGTTGGCTTCCGTCAGGTTTGTAAAGTATTGCCAAACATCCTGTTCAACAAAAACCATGAAATAATTAATGAGTCTGTTTTCCTTTATAACCCGCAGCTGCTCCTCACTTTAATGAAAGCATTTAATGAAGCATTTAACTCTTGGGCAGAACTCTCATTTGTTTAAGTCTACGTGAAAATAAACGCATCTCAAAGAGTTATTTTTAACTCAGGGTTTAATTTTTTCTACTTTTTTTTCCAATCATAAGCCTGCCCAGGACGAGAGGATTGAAGTGCTTTTCGTATACACCGGCAAAATTCCACGTGCTATGCATATTTGTATATTGCATTTCTACAGAAACATCAAAGGAAGCGCTGAGAAAAAAAGCATAAAACTTAAGTCATACTAGTAAGAAAGACCCCTGTGTTTCACCTGAACTTGTGAAGTACTTCTTTCATATTTGTAGAGACGAATACCAGGATTGTTGTAGCCTACGGTCGGGAGCACTGTCTTCCAAGGAGTTACCGCTGGACACAAGAATATAGAGCTACGTGGAACGCCTGCAGAACAATTCAAAGAACAACTATGTATAAAAACACATCACATCAATTTAATTGCCTGCAGTTGTGTTTTGAAACACAAGATAAACAGTTACCAAACTCAGCTGTGAAGCAACGCTTCTGTTCTAAAATCACAGAGATAAATGTTAATGGCGTTTCATTCCGTTCTGTGGCGCTGATAATCTGGTAGTTAAGGACTTGAAGCTATGATCTTGCGGACCTGTCACATTGGCTCGAGGCCTTTATAAACGACAACGTTAGTTGAAATTTTTGGGGTTGACCAGTTAGAGGCTGAAAACTAAACAAAGCAGCTAAATATGAACATAGCTGATTTAAATCAAAGGGACCATAATACACCTTGTTTGCAGACAAAAACTTTGCATAAACATCGTTTTCAATGTCTCTTGGGAAAACTGACAGCTGAGCCCGCGTTCCTTCCTAGAGTCAATGTCAACGAAAATTTTTAGTTTCTTGAACGCTTTTTTGGCCATAAAAAGTTTTTAAATTTAATGACTTTTGTTATTTTCGCAGTTTGCCCTGCCACCAACTGCCACCAAAAGTCCTTTTTCATGCACTCTACAGTTGTTCCGCCTTCGTCGTGCCAGTTGTAATTCTACTCTCCTCCCCCTCGGGTAATTTGCTTCTTCTTTCCGTCCCGCCGAAAACTTAAAACTTTCTCGGCCGTTTATCAGTTTTTTTTATACGCGGAAAAATGATCAAAGATAACAGACAAGCGATTAGAAAAACGTCATTTGTGACTGTTTCACTGGTTTTTATTTTACTGACACAAGTTTAAGAAACATCACATTTCATTAAGAATACATAGTTACATACTCCATGCAGTTAGTTTAGATGAGAATGAGCCGGCTATGTTTGATCATAATTTTTTAACCAATAAAAAACTTAAATAAAACAAAACGAATAACAATGCCGGTGGACTGTTACATAATTATTGGAGTACCGGTACTCTAATAGTTAAGTAAGTACATTCTGAATCATGTGTATGGGAAAGGCCAATCGTCAATTTGTGTCGCTTTAAAAGTTTTCCTTCTACTCGTCACACACAAAAATCACATAGTATTTATATAATAAGTCTTTATCTGCCCTAAACTTGTATCGGACGTCGTTTTCCATAAACATGAGTTTTGTTTTACAATATGGCGCACATGATGCAAGGTACTTACATAAGCTTGCGTAGCAATGGCGTTCGAAAAGGATTGTGGGATAAATCAGGCGAACGACGAAGGGTAGTGCGTATTTACAAAAAAATATGTAGAAAGGGTAAATCAGGAATTGTGAAAAGTTTGCACAAGATTTGACATTTCTTTTAAAATGCTTATTACAGCAGCGGAATAACCAGAAATAAACATAGCTACCTCGCCAGGAGGGGATACAGTGTTAGTTTCTATTTGGGACAATGAAAATTCCATTCATTTGGTTAATTTTAGGTTACATGCATATCAGCAGGATACCCCTACCATTTCGATAACTGATAGCTAAAAGGGCCAAAACACTATTTCATGTCGAGTTTAAAAGATCATAGTAAACGTTAAAAGCCGGTTCTGGCACCTTCCTTAAAGCTTTTTGACCTATTGACTTTTAATAACCTTTATACAGTCGCGATCAAATTTGTATCTTAGTCACGAGCAAACACTTAATGCTTTCTCGTTGTCTGTAATTAGTATATTTTAACTGCAACCCTCAGAACAGAAAGCGTCGTCAACGTTAATGTTAATCAGTAAACATATGCAAAGCCCCTTCCCTGTAATTAAGCCTCTGGCAACCAAAGCATCTTCAGGCTTTTTAAGTGGTATTTTCGTAATTGTTCATCCCTTGACCATTTGGACCCAGTGCACTGTTAGGAGGCGACACTCTCACAGAGGAAGAGTTGGTGATGATGGAAAACACCTTCTTGTACTCAGCTCTAAAGGTACTATTCATGACACCATATATGATTGGGTTAATCGCACTGCTCGTGTACCACAGACAAGTGGCAACCAGGAAAACCTGAAATGAAAAATGAATGAGAAATGAAAGTAACAACTAGCCTTATATATCATTTATTTATTCATTTTATTTAGTTGAGGTTCCCAGTTGAACTCCTTAACACATGCGCGACTGAGTTGATTCATAACTACAGTAATTTTGTTTAAATCGGCAAAAAATGTAAAGGTACCCACCTGTCTGGGAAGAAGAAGAGGGTTGATTTTATCCATGGTGTCCATCACTTCTGCTGGGATCCAGCACAAAGTGAATGAAAGCACGATGGTTGCCACTGCCCTGGCTACGGACACCTCTTCAGTGCGGCTGCCCTCCTGACTGTTACGGTTGCCTTGATTCAGATTTGGTGCAACGGCAGCATTGTGCTCCTCCACGGCTCGGAACACCTTCCAGTAGCAGACAACGATCACCACGTACGAGATGATAAAGGAGCCATAAAGCCAGGCGTTGAAAGTGTAGATAGCTGCGGGTTCCATCATTCGCCTCCAACATAGCAGGTACCCTGGGCAAAAGAAAAAGTCATCCAAAGACAGGGCGTTGGGAAGAACATTGATCAGCAGCGCAATAACCCACACTGTGACGATGATGAGCAAAGTGCGCTTTTTGGTGAAAATCTGCCTGTAAAGGTTTCGCCTTTTGATGCACACATACCTATTGAAGGCTGTTAAGGCCATCAGATAGATGGATACTTGGGCAAGTACGGCCATTGCAAAAGCGTGCGCTTTGCAGATGGTGTCACTGAAGCGCCTCTTGCTGTTAATGACGGCGTCGATTGTTAATGGCATTACTGTTGTTGCTGTTAATAGGTCTGTGATGGCAAGCGCGACGATCAGCATGGTTGTGGAATTGTGAAGTCTGGAGTTGCGAGAGACGATTAAGCAAAGAAGTGAATTTCCCAGAAGAGCGGCAATATCGATGGCTATTATGACTGTACTTTCGATCGCAATCGTCACTTTGCTTCTGGCTTCAAGCTGCTCTTGTAACACAGCGAGAACATCTACGCTGGCGTCGCCAGGGTCGATGTTGTTCATGATGAAATGACAGCGAAAATGTTTGGTGTGATCTTGCAAAATTGTTTGACTATATTAGGCGCTGAGTGAAAGTCTTATCATTCAGAACAATACATATAGAACTTTAAACTTAATTTGAAGCTTATTTTTCTCCTCGTCGTCACACTTTACTTCCGAAAACGTCAAAGTTTTTTTGCCGCCATATTGTTGGGGAAATGGGCGACTGTTATGGAATAACTTTCCTAAATGTAATTAAAAGCTTCTTTGTGCTCTCCTAAAAAAGAGCATTGAGTCGGATCACTTTGTGTTCCACAATTCAATGCTTCCCATCCAGGAAACGGATGAGAAGAGGTAAATGCGTCATTAGTAGGGTAAGACGTCTGATAGTGAAGAGCAGTTAGGTGATTGGCAAAGACTCGTGGGCTGCAGCTACTGCGTTTATCAAATTAGTGACTGACTTGATCTGTTTGCACACATTATCTCATACACCTGCACACTTTGCCCCACATGAGTTGCAAACATAATCCTTTTCGACTATTTTACATTAAAATAAAGGACCATGTAATCACCATTAGTGCATTTGAGATGCAAGTATTTACTGATTTGTTTCAGGTTCTTCTGTTATTTTCCGTCATATCTAATGCTTTCTAACCGTGTTGTACAAGCTGGAAATCATGTTGAAGCGTAAAGAGCGTTGAACAAGAAGTCAGGCTCCAGTGACTGATTTACAGGCTTTCTTTAAAAGTGATTTGTCTTTTTTGCAGTAATCAAATATTCCTCAGATGATGATTTTGAAAATCATGGACGAGTGATAACCTACAGTTACCATTTAGAATACTTGTTTGTGATGAAGATTGTGCTCCGTACTCGTCAGGATCTCAAAGAACCCAAACTTTTAGCCATTTTACTTTCTTCGAACCCATATTTTTCATGAACCTTCAACATCATATCATTACTAGTGATACAGTTTTCATTTTTAGTGTCAGGATATTTGCTAAGCTCTTTATTCCCTGATTATTCAGTCTAAGCTCTTCTTCGTAAAAAAAATGGTGATATTCGAGGTTAATGTCTCAGCGTTATCACTGACAGATATGTAAAATAGCCTACTTGATGGCGTACATTGAAATAAAAGCTTGTGATCAGTTCCTTTTGTGGCAAAGTTGGCTTTCAACACTTTTCCACACTTCACAAACCAACAAATGTCTGGTTCATTACGAATGGGTAAAAAGTATTTTAAATATTTGAGAGAAATCTTTAAGAAATTATGTATTGCCTTGCAAACTACATTCTCTTCGGTTCTTCTTCGATGTTTTACTCAAAAGACGATTTGATTGGAGGGTCTGATTTCCACCTGTTACTAACACGATGCAGACAACAATGGCACTGTCAGGACTCCAATTACTAGTCTACTTTGTCGCTTCCGCACGAATTCTGTCAAACGTCAGTGTAATCTACTGACATTGTTTTCAAATTCACGGTTTTACTAACGTGAAAGGACTTCATACATCAACATATATATTTTAGCTAGTATTGATGGATGGAACATTTTCTCTGAGAGACTAACTTAAAAGAAATTGTAGAAAATAAATGAGAGACCGTTCAAGTTGAGTTGCTTCGGCAGCGCATATGTGAATGTTTTCTCTTACTTTTAACGATCCATTCTCGGCAAAAGTAAGTGCAGGGTAGTTTTTCTCATCGCCGGTCCCAATTTTAAAGAAACTGATGGGGTCCGTTATTACTGATATACCCTTTAGTCAGAAAGGTATTTTCATTATTTTTTTGGTTGTTTTACGGATCAATTTAATACTGTAGTTTGAGGGAACAACCGAAATGAAACACAGTAAGCGACCTTTGAAATAGCAAAATAACCGGGGCGCAGAAATGACAAGCTTGCAGCCACCTTATAAAACAAACACAAAGAAATTCCTTGTTCCTACGCAAAGAAAAAAGTGCCAGTTTTTCCTTACCAAGGGACCAAAACGGTTTCCTACACACACCTATACCTTAATAACTCCGGATTTAATTACTGAAAAAAAATAAACAAATTGCTTTAGCAAACGTTTGATCGTTGTCCTTACAATGGAGTTTATAACTATCGTTTGTTAGAGTGAATTAACGGTTTTCAATTTAGCTATTGACATGAATTTAACTGACAACTTACTTTAAAGCGAATTGGACAAAAATTACTTCTAAAGAACTAAACTGACGCGAAACCATGTGGAGAAATTTTAATGAGAAAGGCAATGGTTTGACGAACAAAATTTAAAAGGGGGTTCAAATTTTATTTTCATTTTGAATAAAAACGTAACATTCATTGCGTGTAGCGTTATGAAGACGAAGGGAGAAATTATGACGATGCAACAAACACCCAAACAAGGTTTTTTACAATTAATGCTATACTCTCTGTTATTTCAGAAACGGTCAATAGAACGCGTCCAGTTCCAAGTATAATGGCTGCCAAGGAACTGATCTGTGTTGTTTTAGGCTCAGTTTCGTTCTTGTTAATATTTGCCCCGCAAGTAGATCCAGACCTAACATCATGATAAAATGTCGCACACAAAGGAAACAGTTTTGAGCCAGGGAAATTTAATCAGTTTCGTCCATCTCCGTGATTCAAATCTGTCGGCAATCTCAGAACACAATTTACACAGCATCACGGTCAATCTCGAGAAAGCGATGGAAAAACGTAAAAGATGTATTCACTTTTATGACTTTAACCGGACAAATTTATTTTTGTCTCTGAATGATAGTCTTTCTGTTCTCGAAGAAAACAGTCGAATAATAAATGTCCTAATAAAGGAATTGGTGCAGAAAGCGCCGCAGCTTTTATGTCAAACTAAACCTTGTTTAATTTCATAAAATCATGGACAAAAATCTTGGAACAAATTTGTATTTGTGGCGCTTCTAAACTGTACATGCCCAGCTTTTTTCCTCACCCCACACACTACGTTGAACACATGTATCCACACAATTTTCCTGTATTCCAATATTGTATAGTAGGGTTGAGAAGGGAGAGCTGCTAGGCCAAGGGTTTGTCCACTATTGTATTGGACTGCTTGTTGCCGAGCTTGAATAATGTTGTTGTAAGCTTCTATCCTATGAAAATTTTAGGCTACTACATGACTTCCGTTATCCAAAAAACGCCTTTGGAAGTATTTACGTCTTACAAAAGAAGATTCACTGATACCTTTTTCGTAGAAAACTTTAAAGCTGTCACAGTGTTGATGAGCTAGGAAATGACCGGTGATAACGTCGGCGTGTTTTAGAATGACATCGATGTATTTCTTGTTGAACTGCGGGTAAAACCATTTTTTCCCGGGTGCTCTCTCGAAGACTCCAGGTGGAACATGACCTATAATGAAAACCTGGGAAGCAATGGCAGGCACACTAAACTAACGTAGGAAGGCTCGGCGCTACTCTGTTGATTATGTAATGACGAATTTTGAGCTGTTTGATATTGTGGTGAAAAACGCAGTGGAATGGTTGATATTAGTTCCCAGACAAAATATTCTTGCCAAATTTTCCAATAGGGTTTTCCGACACAAGGCGAGTGAATAGATTTCCAATGTGATATAAAAGTCCTCTACTGGCCATTTCCCCATTTCCCTGCCCGCCCCAGGACCCGAAACACTAGAAAGAACCCACACAGCTTCGTTACTCAGTGAATAAACGGTACCTTTTCTTTGGCCACTGAAGCATTTGTCAGCACGGCATCTAACCACACAAACTGACCCGCGGGATCTTCCAAATTTTGAGTAAGTCTGTTATTTGTGTAGTAGTAGACAGTATTCAGACTGACAAGGCGTAGGCCAAATTTAATAAGAACTGTGTAATATCCGCCTGAAATCACAATAGAAATAATCAATATTACGACTCCAGAGAGTAGCCACAGCAACTGCTTACAGCTCGGTCCATAAATGAAATAACTTTCTTCTCAGTCCATTTGTTGCTTGAGTTGGGGGCTATGAGAATATGAAATATCGAACATGATAATGAACTGATCAAATAATAACTACTTTTTTTAAAACAAAATGCACCTCTTTCAAAAGTATTAACTGCGTCCAGAGGAAGCCACCGACTCCACAGTTTTCCCACAGCCGTGTAAATGTCATTCGGTGTTGGTGGCATCAAGTGTTTAGGGTGGTAGTCATGGTTACCCAAGGCGGGGTAAACCGTCGTCTTTGGAAAAACAGTGAACAACAAGTCTGTTAAGTTCTGGACTGTTTCTATCACTTCTTCGGTGCTTAGTTCACTGTTTGCCACATGAGGCATGTCATCCCTGTAACAGAATGGTATAAATGTTCAGAAGGTACCTACAACCTAGACCGTCATTATTCCGCGCTACTTTTTCATTTCGGAGTACATAGTCCTAGCGAACAGTGACCGAAAAACTTTCTGAAATGCATAAGTAACTGTGAAGGCCTTTGGAAAACGCCACACAACTTGACACAAGGACTGGGCATAGTCCGCAGAACTTAACCACATCTTTACCTCTCGAAGTACGAAGTCCTTGTGCTGTATAAGAGTTTGAAATGCTTGGATTAAAAAAAGGGACTTGTCTAACCACCTTCGCTATGTACCCTGTTATCTTTTCCTTAACTCCTTCAGACTTCTCTTCTCTCGTACAAGTAGCCGGAGGTCTCACTAATTTCTCTAGCTAACAAGAAGCACCCATGAGTATTGCTACACCCCACAGACAGAGTTACCCTATCCATACGTACCCCATGGAGACAATTATTTTTGGAACGAAATGGCAAGATGGCATGGCCAAGATTTAAAGGCCTATCGCTGACAGACACACTACACTGAACTACTGTGCTAATTCTCTCTTGCTGTGCCTTACTCCACAAGTGCAGGCCACTTTTGAAGAAAATGTTGACGGTTCTGTAACCTTGCGCAAATCTGGAATAAAGTGCAAGGCTTCCTTTTTCTTTTCTTTTTCTTTCTTTTTTTTGAGGGGGGGACAACGGAATGAAATCTTACCCAGTCCAAATAATAAAGTCAGGATTGGGCTCGATATCCCTCATGGCGAACACTGTAGAGTTAATAAGCCTCCATGGAGAATCACACAAATAGTTCCCCCATCTTCCCGCTCTACTGGGCTTTACGGTGTTCGGAGTCTGGGAATTGCAGATCTTGTTCGGGTCTGTGGGCTTCAGGTAGGTCTTGTCATAGTGAAAGTCCGTAACCTGCCAAAAACTCCCTAAAGAACAAACAGACACACAAAGGCATGGACAATTGATACTGTCGGTGGAAATCCCTCGAATGAGATGGGATGTTATCATTTAGTTCTCGTTCCGGCGACGTGGACTGCTCTTTGGTAAATATGAAGCCTGCTTCACGTCAATGACCTTTCATGCTTCACTGGTCGGTCGGCCGCTTTTTAAAGCAGTATTGTAACGCAATGCTACGGAAAAAACACTCTGGCCGCGTCTTTGTTTTCTTTTCTTGGCAAACTTGACGGTCGCTCCAGATGTCCCCGTGGCAGCTGAACAATGGAGGTTTTATACATTTAGAAACGAGTACTGGACAATCCTAACAAGAATTTATGCTGTTTGGACTGAGAGGGGCAAAGAGCAGCCTTCACACTGGCGTTATGAGAGTCACATTGGCAAAAGAGGTGTTTGAACGTGTATCGATATATTGGATTGAGCTTGCCTTGGTATTAAATAGCAACAAGAGAATTCGCTTGTATCAATGGTCAGTGGTTATGTATTTGGTCCGTTTCTGACGCCTAACCTTTTACAGTCGACTAAATGTAAAAAATTCAGATTATTAAGTTACTTAATTTAACTGATTCGGTAGGCTCAGCACTGGAGTATTTCAAATTGAAGCCTTGTTAAAGTTAAAATTCTCGGCTGAGCCAGGCAGAAGGAGACGAAAAAGGGCTGAGCCGTTTCAAATTGAAAAGGACAGCGAAACCTTGCTTGTACGTTGATCACGTTCGCTCTTAGTAAAAAGTCTGGCCGGCGTGAAAATCGGGCGTAACATAAGAGGAAATAAGTTTACCTTCCTTTAGAATTACTGGCCTTATCCACAACAGAAATACTATAACTGAGAGCATTGCCCTACAGCACGTAGATGAATTACGGTTCAACGGCTTTAAGTTCGTCTAAGCTGCGTTGAAAGGGTTCCGTTGAAACGACCCAGGTACGATTGTCTCTAGTTTCTTAGAATTGTAGGATGTCACGTAATAGTCCAGTTTCGAATAAAAAATCACCGCTGAATACAAACATTAATGACACATTCATACAGGGTTAGCCTCGACGTAAAGTAAAATATTCAGAAATTCTGCCCAGTAAGTGTTTGAAATTTGAATATACACAATAGACAGAGTAATAAACAGATCTTTTTCTCGTTGGAATTTGTGAATATATTACTTCAGATGGAGGCTAAGGCTGTAAAAATGCTTCTTCACTTCTTTAATTCAGCGGTCATAGCGAACTCAAAAATGGGCTATTGTCACTAAGTCAACACAACGGATCAGACAAACAGACAAATGTTTGGAATTGTGGATTGAAAACAACATAGGCAGGGACAACGGAGGAAAGATCCTACTATTCTAACCCAACTGTCTATAAGAAGAGTCCTGAACCCAAGGGGGTTATAACCCTATAACAGCCTATACGGCGAGGCTCCGACCGAAAGGGGTATATATGAAAGGTATGGAAATTGGTCATTGGGGGTAAGTAAAAAGACCTAAAGGGGTAACACATGCATTTTATGTCTGTGAAAAGTCGAGATAACGTTCTGGTTTAGTGACTTGTGTTTATTGTAAAGACAGTGCATTTGTAGCAATTAAAGGGAGTTTTATTTGTCAATAGAAGGTATATGTAAAAAATGGGTCAAACGCAAGGGGTTCAACCTGGAAACTCAACCTCCCCCTACAAAACTTTGTTTAGTGCCTCCCCCCCCCCCCGGTACGGACTCCACTCTTTAGAAAACTGAAATTTTCGCTGTTTTAGGAAATTTTCAAGACCATGAAAGAAAATAAATAAGTTTTGTTTAATATAAAAAAAAATCTATTTCGGTTGTTAATTGTTAAGAAGCGAACCACTGTTAGGCTGTACAAGAACACGTGTTTCCGGTTGTCACTTCTCCCTGTAGTTACTTTTCGGTAAAGAGTCAAAAAGCGAGAACCAGAAAAAATACGACTGCGTTTGCAGGCCAAGCACTTTGGGTCGGTAAAACAGAGTAAAAACTGTGATTAACAAAACCACGTGGAAAGCCGTTTTCCATTTTGCCATTTTGATGTCCGATCATTGTTTGCTGATAACAGTATTAATATAAGAAGACTTACAATCCAGGCTTAAAACTTGTATTTAGAAGAGGAACTCTATACTTTTTACAGTGTATTTCCAGTCAGCCCTCATACACGCAGCCCCTGGCTTATAGGATTGAAGTATTCGAAAGCAAAACGCCTCTGTAACAAAGCGGACGCAAAACAAGGTGTTCTCCGAGATTTTTGTCTTAAAATGGCTTTAATACGCTCATAAAGATCATTACCGAATTTCATATTAATCCGAGGCTCAGAGGATTGATTACTTGGTGGTTCAAATTGGTCCTAGAACAAATCAAGGTCATACAGTGGAAGCAAAAACGCGCCTTTCACCTTGGAGGTGGCTTCATCAGTGTCCACCTGCATACCCTGGTAGTACAGTGGATTATTTGCTTTGAATGTGCAATCCCCCTCTAGATGTTGTTGATCAGCAAACGCTACTAGTGGAGTCTCCCCGACTGTTTGTATGAATGGAGTGGGCGCCGTCGGCGGGCCACATCTGAAAGCTTCCATGTGAGGAGGATAAACGAGATTACGATCATTGGCATTTGGCAAGCTTACGTCAGTCTTAGGGTCAATGGCTGATGTCAGGGAGTTACCTATTGCTGCTTGCCTTACCGGAGGACTGATAGAATTTACTTTGCTGCCATTCGAACAGCTTTCGCCACTTTGATTGCCAGTGGTTGATGTTGCTGAATTCTCCCTCAGTACTTGTAGAAGAGGAGGACAAACAGTTTTTTCTCCCCCGCCATTTTGATGACATGCGGCAGAAGCCGAGGAGTCATTTTTGACTACTTGTATAAGAAGAGGATACGCAGCACCTTTGCCATATGCGAAAGGTTCCTCAGTTTGATGACCTGTGTCTGATGCCAGTGGACCATCTCTTAATGCTTTCACAAGAGAAGGATATGCAGAATTGCTGCTTTTGGCACTAGAAAACGTGCCTGGAGTGCTTGGAGTTTTGGTGACGCTTACAGCTTGTTCTTGGAATAGGTGGTGCGATTTGGGTAAATCAACTTTCACAGCTTGAGCAAGTGAAGTATGCACGCCTTTGATTTTACGTAAAGGACGTTCTCCATGTTCGTAGGCCGAAAGTTTGCATGAAAGGAGAATATGTTCAATTGCCTCCTGCTGCAAAGATAGAGCTTTTGTAAGATTATTTTCCATTGAGTGCCGACGGATTATCTGTAACTTCTTAGACGAGAGGAGAACATGCTGCCACGGTTCTAACGTTAGGGGACCCGTACCAATGTTACTGCCACTAACTGATAAAGTTAAATTGTTTCTTACTGCTTGCGTGAGTGACGGATATGGTGGGCTGTTTCTTTTCTCACTATATGATGTTTTTCCTAATTTTGGTCCAGTTGCTGCCTTGCTTGATGATTGATTCTTGTCTGAAGCCAGGTTGTTTGCACTTGGATTGCCGGATAGCCTTTGATCATTACCTTCAAAATGGAAGTCAGTATCTGTTAAAGATGAATCATGTCTGGTATCTTGTAAAGATAGGGGGTAAGCTCGATTAATTGCAGTGTCGCTTGTCGCCTGATCTCTGACTAGAAAATCTGTGTTTGCTTGCATGATAGGGGAATATGACTTGACTTCCCCAGCTCCTGATGTAAGTCCAACATCTCTGTTTCCCAGAATGGAGAGTGAAGTTCCTGGATTTATGTGGCCAACCTAACAGAAAGTATGGAAAGTAAACACATTTTTAGTTTCCCTTTTAGTCTTTTCTGCGGTCCGGCGACAGATTAGCCAGATAGTGACGAAGCGAACAAAAGTCATAGAAGGGTGGCGCATTTTTCCTTCTGCTCGATTCTAGATATCTCAATGCCTGGAAAAGACTATTTTGTTTTAAGTCATACATGGGTAAGTTATTCAGTAACAGTAAACAACTGTATATATGAGAATCTGGTGGATTGACCTGCAGGCTAAAATTTGGAAATTAAACCCATTATAAAAGAACTCTTTCAGTCTGAAACTGTAAATAGCTTTATTCACAAAGCAGGCATCGTATGAGTAAAATACACGTAACTCAAAATCAAGTCTCAGAACCATATCCCTAAAACTGCCTTAAATAAACTAAAATTCACAATATAGAGCATAAACAGTCTCTTTGATTCCCCAAAACAGTGTGAGAATTTCTAAATACGCTAAATAACTACTGGCTACTGTCAGCCATTTACACCAAATTCCAGTTGGTCGAAGTTAGCCATCAGCTTTCGCGAATAATAAGTTCAAAATGCTTCCAGTACAGACATTAACGCAGCTTTCTTATAGTTTGAATCGCTGATCCATTCAACCAAGTTTGCTAATTTATTTCAAAGCTTAGTATCACAAAAACTGAAAAAACATGTTTCATACAGTTCGCTAAATAATCGTTTGTAGTGTCGTCTGCAGCATAGTCCATAAGAACGTAGTAAGCCCAGCAACAGAACATAAGCAATGCCGATTCAGTTACGTTCCAGTCTAAAACAATTCACTGTCGTCTACAAGCATTGAAGAATCCCTGTCACCCCGTTTCGACGACATTGGAATACTACCGCTTGTTTGTGTGTCCGGCGAGTACTCTAGATTATTAACACTCAAGCTGGACAGGGATCCCCTTGGTTGCTGGTCAGTGCTGGGCGCTGGTGGAAAACTTTGGACTGCCTGTATGAGAGGTGGATATGGTTGATTGCTCCTGTTGCTAATGGCACAACATTCTTCAGATTCAGAAGCTGTGTGAGATGACGGTATATTGTCTTGAACTGCTGTCATCAGGGCAGGATAGGGTGGATTACTTCCCGGTCCGTTGGGAGAATTATAACCTGA